AACTATTTCGTTTTTTGTAGTAACGTCTCGTCTTGAAAATGGATTTTCCAATAAATTTTTAATTGTTGAGACATCTGAGATCATTCTGAAATGGGTTATATTTTATGAATATAAATTTAAAGAATACAATAAATAAAATATTTACCTACGAGTAGTCAAGGTATAACTATAAAAACAGCTAAACTTACAAGAATTTTACTAACACTGAAGCAAAAATCATGTCTTGTGTTGTATAGTGTCATATTGGCGGCGAAAAAGCAAAGCTTCGGGCTTCCACGAAATACTTATATTTTCAGCAAACGTAGCACCACACGCCGCCCGCCACTGTGGTGCCTCATTATCAGCCTGATGACATCAGGAAGAATCATCCATGGACCTTTGGAGTCATCTGGATGCTCAAAGGTGTCGACAAACCGAACGTCTATTCCACGTGCAGAGGATTTCACTGAACGCTGGCACAATAGAACGAACTGTTTCTTGTTTGGTCAGTGGATTAAATTATATTTATTAATTGTTTTTAACATTTGGAAATCATATATTCTGCGAAAAACATCTTGACAATTTTTAAAAACAAAACCAGGGATATGGTGTTAGACAGATATAATTTATATACTGTCTGTAAGACACAATGAATGGTAAAATTTGGACTGTTCTGTTAAAATTCGTTTCTTTTTTGTCTAACAAAACAAAATTGTTTTTCAGCGAATTATTTCTATAAATATAATACATCACCGAAATTACTTTACCACACTAAAACATTTCCCCTTATATTGATGAAATACTTCTTTTATATTTCCATAAAAACAAAATCTTACAATATATAAATTTAAACATTAACCGTCTGCAAAATCGTATGGCCAGTTAATCAGTTAAAAAACCAAAAGCGCTTCAGCACTTAAGTCCACGCTCTAATACAACGCTTAATAAACCGTACCTTCGGATGATTCTGAATGCCAAGTGCAGGAAAAATAGCTGCACTTGCCTCAGTGCTACAGTATGCTGTGCTTCTCCAGTAGCCCATACATATAAAGCGTGATTTTCTATTAGTGTGCAGTGCGTACACATCAAAACTTCCTGTGTTTGTTTGCTTTCGAACGCGCTATGTTGTGCAGCACCTAGTACCGCACGCACTGTGGGAATACAAGCAAGCAAATCAACATAATATTTGAATACATTATAAATAATATTTATTATATACCATATAAAGATAGGTGCAGAAAATTATTGTCTCATAATTTTGCCAGGGTGTGCACGACCGCACGCCACTGCCATGAATATATGACCCAAATAATAAATACCACAAGTACCAACATTTTCAAAAGTCTTAACAGGCCTGATAATCACTCTGCATACAGCAAATGTTAATAGATTGAAATAGCCCCTAGGTTAATTATTAGTAAGATTTCTACACAGTACATCATAATGAAGTTACTTAACTTTTGTACTATTGAAAGAGATGGAAGATTAAAATTATTAAAAAGTAGAATTTCAAAAAAGGCTTTTTAAGTGTAATCAAACTTCATCAAATGAAAATTTGGAATAAGCCTGAGTGTATTACAGAGTGAAGATTTCCAAGGCTTTTGGCTTATTTGATTATGGCTTGAGTACTTGAGAGCTATATGCCTAAGGGGAGGGGGGTGAACCTTCTAAGAGAAACTGACAAACATGGGGAAAACCACGAAAGCGCTCATATAGTCAGCCCATTCACTAGGATCTGACACCTGGACCGAATGACTAGTGGGGGAGGACCTTCTAAGAGAAACTGACTCATAGATGACCCAAACATGGGGAAAACCACAAAAGCGCTCATGTAGTCAGCCCATTCACTAGGATTTGACATCTGGACCGGATGACTAGTGTTCAGCGACTTTTATCACTCGGCCGTTGGTGGGCCTGTATATTTTCAAGAAAATAGCTGTGTAATATTAACATATTTTGCAAAGTTAATTTTTATATTTCCAAAGGAGGCTAAAAGATGCTACAGATGGGGATAATCTATGTTAATAAACATCATGTTGGTATTATATGAAGTTGCATATCATCAACTTTCGTTTATTCTTGAGTATTTATAGTAAAGCTTACTGAAATATTTTGAAATATTTTTTTACTCCTGATTGTTAAGCAACAATTTGCCAATTTATGTTTCATAATGGCAATTCTTCCTGTCATAAATCTCAAAATGCTATATAGTGGTTTACAAAATATAACAAATTGGGTTCTTTCATAATTACTGGCCAAATCCAGCAAGGTTAACTTGAAAAATTGGCTAGAATAAATGCATTATAACAGATCTACTAAACATCCCCGCAAAGTAAATGAATTAATTTAATTCCACATGCTGGAAAAGATATTTCAGTCCAATAAAGCAGCTTTTTGACACAAGGTAATACTGTAAAAAAAAAATAATAATAATGATTTTACATGAATTAAAATTTGGATATATGTTTCTAAAAACTACTGCTAATATCAGTAAAATACAGAATGTCAGTGCAATAAGTGAATAATACCCCATAGACTAATTCCAAAGTTCCATGCCAATGATTTCTTATTTTGACTAGACATAGCCAAGAGCTTATGATGTTTGACCCTTTATTTGACATAAGCCAAGGGCAAGTCATTTAGTTCTATATAGTATGGGCAGAAAGTAGAAGAAAAACCAATGTGCATAATACATGAACTGAGCACTGAATGTTGCATTAACAGTAATAGTTTTAAGATGACTAGCAATTATAAGTAAGGTTTAAAAAAAAAACTACATACCTACATTAGGTAATACATATGGTATCTGAAAGCATGAATCACAATGAAAATGTGAGGTTAATGCTCCTTTTTGTGCATCAGATGCTTTAGATTAGAGAGAAATAAGTATTTTATGACAGTGGAAAATAAAAACTGCAGTAGCTGAATAAACGAGTACCACTGAAATAAATACCTAAACTGAATTTGCATCCATAGAAGATTTTCTGATACATTTATAATGGATTACCAAAGCTGCGATGCATTATACATTTTTGTCATGTATCCAGACAATCAAAAGTGATGTGTACTGCTATCATTTGAATGCATGTATTAACATGCATTCAAATAAGAAGCATACATAAGACCAATATTTTGGGTTATATGATTCTTCCTTCTGCATTCAGCAGACTCTGCCTCTCAGACTTTTACATTTTCACCATATGTACCACTGCTTGATAGCAAACAGTTCATTTATTAGGATGCTGTGATTCATTGTGTTAATAATTTATTAGACAGCAGTGATACCATTTCTTCTATCATGGCATTTTTGCACTAAAAACACACTGACCATAGTGATTCAGATATTTTTCTGAATATTTCTTCATCTGTTGCTACTGGCATTTATTTATTTATCTGTCACTCTATCAGCTAATAATTATGAAACAGCCCATAAAAAGCCGTTAAAAGATCACAAAGAAGCCAGGTCTCAATCTACAGAGAAATTTTGTACAGAAACTTTTGAATATCTGTACATGAAACAATTTTAAACTTGTAGTACTGTTAATTATATACTCGCCAACTCGCCAACAAAAAGGAAGGGTTTTCTCCACATAATTCAAATAAATATTTCTGTAGCACATCTTTGAATTAGTTTCCCAAAAACTCTGGTGGCAAGCAATTCAATTTGTGTTTCAGCATTATCTTTAGAAAATCTATAAAATTTTAATGTTTCAAAACAGAGTGTGAAACCAGGAAGGAGACTCAGATTTGGTTGGTTAGATAGGAAGAAAGTCATTATTGTCCAGATCAGCCAAATGCATGTTAAAAGTGACTTTGCTTAAATGCATGGCAGAAAATTACATAAAAAGATGAGAAAATCAACATTTTTGCCAAAGCAGATTCTTCTTGTCTTAAAACTTGAATCTGTCAAACCAAAAGTGTATCAAACTCATATTTTGGTGTATTAAAAAACTTAGCGGCATGATACTTTTGTCTTAAAAACTAATATATTTTAGTTTCTTTCTGATTATCTTCAACCCCTTGAGAGTATTCATGAATCACTGCACTACGTCGCCAAAATGTATAGTATATGCGGCAACCCACGTAAGCACACATTCGCAGCAGAAGACACCTTTAAATCAGACGGTCATTTTTCTGATCAGTATTTGTTTTTGTCCCGTTTGAAGAGATTTTGTTTCATTGCAAAGAATTCTAACAGGATTATAAAGTTTGCCAGCTGATGAAAAAGCACTTCATTTCTTTAAAAATATGGCATTTTTTGTCCAAAAATAAAGAATGCAAAAATTTACATTCCATGATATTGCACAAATCATGATCTTGCACATAAACATCAGAGTTGTGCAACCAATCTCCTTCCTGGTCCCACAACTTTGGGCATAAAATTTCATCATTAATCAAATTTTATGCCCAAAGTTGTGCAATTCTTTGATGTTTTTTAAACAAAAACAGATCGCTGAATATATGGAAAGTGACAGTGTGCATAGTGAAAAGTTGTGCACAATGCCAAGTTTATACAATTCTCCAATTATTTTTAAGCTAAACCAGATCACACACAAAAATCACAAAACTGAACAGCACATTAAAAAAGGTACACCTTTTATTATGGATGTTTCTTGCATTTTTAATTTTGTTAATTGGTTATATTTTTATGTCATTTTCAGTACACTGCCATTTTTGACAATGGCTGTTATCTTCTCCATCTTATCTTGGCAAAAAATTAGTTGCCAAAAGTTGACGACTTTTCCCAAGGAGGGCACAGATAATCTGAAAGTACCATGTTTTGTACAAAATGAAATTTACACTTAATTAATTATTGTGTTTATTTTGCCATATATATCATTAACTGCAAAAAAAATATTTTAAATACATATATTTAGCAGTTGATAAATTACTAGCATTAAGAATTTGTCAGTGTGCTAATTATTATTCTGTTTGACGGAGGGTAGCAAATAAAGAATGTAATAATTCATCAAATTAAAGAATCATATGAAGGTTAGAATAACAAATAATATATTCAATACCTGTATTTTAAAATCATAGAGTTCAGCTCCAAATTCAATACCTGTGGGTCCACCACCTACAATAACAGTGTGCAAAAGCCTTTGACTTTCCTTCTCTGAAAGAGTTGGTGCTAATGCTTTTTCACAATTACGAAGAATCTTACGACGTATTTTTTGAGCATCAGATATTTCCTAGAGAAAAACGTACATAAAGAATTTTAAGAAAAATGAACATAACATTAATACAGTAATATCAATATAAAATAATGAAAAAACTTTCAATATCCAGGTATAAAATTTAAATTGAAATATTACAACTACAGTATATTAATTTAAAAAGGTGATAATTTAATCTAGAAAGAAAAGAGTGCAAAATTAAAAAGATAATATGAGATCAGAATAAAATCTTATCAGATTTTCATAAGCAAATATTGACATGATCAAGATTTTAGGGTACTTTTCTGTTTCGCTGGCGCATATCTCACCAAGGAGACTTACACATAAAAAATGTTAACAAATGTTAGTTCTACGAATTTTTTATTTTGAAGGCATAAATATTTTAATATTGTTTAAAATTTTGTAAAAAGACATTAATTTAAGAATTTACTATGCTTTCATGGTACAACATCCAGATTCGCCAGTTCATATCCTGTGACTCCAAGCGATCTCATCTCACGTAAACTACGCTACAAAAATCTATTACTCTCAGTAATTATCTACATTAATTTCAAGTTAAATCTTAATTTGGAATGCTATTTTAAATGCAAGAATTATTCCAATTAGTACGAATAGCTTACTCAGATATTAAAACAGCAGTGCTTTACTTCACTAGTGCATTCTCATTAGAATTGGTGAATTTCACCCTTGACTTTCCCTTTTCTATATTTTCGTCTTCCGGTGAGCGGTGTGATTGTATCTTAATTGACTTAATTACCACGAATGGTCTTAGATCATAAAATTAAACTATCTGGTAAAAATTCTTTGTAATTGTATGCCAGTATTGAAAGAAACAATCAATCTGATGATAAGAAATAGTTGAATTGTTTTGAAAATGAGTCATAAAAGGTTACCAGCGAGGATATTCTGTTTGGCATCAGTTGTACCATTTTTGGTGACCTGCGCCAGCAAAATGGAAAAGTATAGATTTTAGTGCTGTATATTATGTTTCGGTTTCATATATTTATATACAATCTGTGCATACCACAAGCATAAAATACATTGCACATACTTTTCCTTCTTAAATAATACACAGAGTGAATTTTTTAATGAATAACTTTTTCTCATAGCAAAGGGCTGCAGAATATTTCAAAATAGATAAGAAAATTACAGTCTATAATAAAATATTACATCACAGCATTAAGAAAAATGATTTTTTAAGGGGGAAACACTAAAATTAACATAGATATAATGCTGAAGATTATTTAATGGACTATTTGAAAAGCTATCTGGACTATGAATGCAGGAAAACTACATTATGTCTTCAATATCAAGAGGACTAAATTTCTGGCCTTAAAGGCGGACAGCAACTGCCTGAAAAGTGTGCATGAAATAAGGTGGCGAGAAAACTAAAACTTTGCTAAAAGCCACAACTTAAATAAACAGTTTGCAAGCTCAATTTGCATACTAAAACTAACTGCGTTTATTATGGACAGAAGTGGAATATAATAAGAAACAGTACAATAAACGTTAGTAAAACTTAAAATGCTTATAAAGTAATTTTGGTACTTTTCTTCTAATCTGTTTGGCGAACATGAGTGTGTCCTGAGTAGGACAATGAATTATTTTAAACTATGTCCAATGAAATTGCAGACAAAGATGGGAAGAATGTACGACAAAGGTTTAATTACCCTTTATTCTTCATAGTTTACAGCTGCTCCCACACTTCGGAATACAAAGACCAGTACTTGTGGTCTGAATGTAAAAAAATAAGAATTACAAACTAACTAAATTTAAATAGGAGCTAAACTCAAATACTTTACAAAGACTAGTAACACTACAATTGGCCTTTTAGATCTTTACGTATGTAGTATGCAGAATGCAGGAAAACTACATTATGTCTTCAATATCAAGAGGACTAAATTTCTGGCCTTAAAGGCGGACAGCAACTGCCTGAAAAGTGTGCATGAAATAAGGTGGCGAGAAAACTAAAACTTTGCTAAAAGCCACAACTTAAATACTTAACACTTTGCAAGCTCAATTTGCATACTAAAACTAACTGCGTTTATTATGGACAGAAGTGGAATATAATAGGAAACAGTAAAGTTTTAAAATACAATAAACATTAGTGAAACTTAAAATGCTTATAAAGTAATTTTGGTGCTTTTCCATTTCCCCGGCGCAAACGATAAAGTCACCAAAAATGGTACAGCCGATGTTAAACAGAATATCCTCACTGGCAACCTTTTATGCCACATTTTCAAAACAAGGCACTGCTATTTCTTATCAGATAGATATCTTTCCTTCAATATTGGCACACAGTTACATAGAGTTTTTAAATTATAATATTGAAATAATTCTTGCATTTAAAATTGTATTCCATACTAAGATTTAACTTGAACTTAATGTTGATAATTATTGAGAGAATCAGAATTTTGTAGCGTAGTTTACGTGAGATGAGATCACTTGGGATCACGTGATACGAACTAAGAAATCAGGATGTTGTACCATGAAAGCATAGTTAATTCTTAAATTAATGACTTTTTACATATTTATTGTCTTTATTTATTGGCTTTTTATAAAATTTTAAACAATATTAAAATTTTTATGCGTTTAAAATAAAAAATTCTGACAAATAACATTTAACATTTTTTACGTGTATACTGTATCGTGTCGCCAATAAAGTCTGCTTAGCGAGATTTGTGCCAACGAAACAGAAAAGTACTGATAAATCATATTCTGGAAGACCAATTAAAATTGTTGAAAGCAAAATAAAGGTATTGGTTGAAGCAAACTTCCAGATAAAACTAGAATAAAAGAGGAAATCATTTGTAGGATTTTCATCATGTTAATATTACCCATTATTTTATGTTTTGGATCTTTACTGTCATTTCTTTCCGTTTCCATGCCAAAATGCAAACTAGTTCACGAGTATTTAAATTGTATGAAAGAGTCCGTTCTGCCTCTCAAGGCCATGTTACTAAGTTGCAGCTAGCTCAGATAAGACGTGGAATATTCGGCCTCACATTACAATTGCCAATATTTGAATATCTGTGCTAGTTAGATTTGCCAGCCAACTTCATGTTAAATTGGTTTGAGTAGCCTCTGGTTACTAATTTACTTGAATTTAAATTTTACTGTTACATTTAAATGACATCATCGCAAATGGTTAGTTAAGTTGTAACCACCTGTAACGATCTCGAGAACAACTCAACTCTCACAAATTTGAAAAGAGGTGGAACTCTTGACCCTAATGCAATTGATCTCTTTTGAGCTAACAATAAAGAATTCGACTTGTAATAAACCGACCCAGGTTCAAGTTCCGCTCATGCGATGCTGCACTTTTCACTGGTGTTAATAGATGACAACATGAGCAAGCAACTATTGAGGCTACACCGAAACCCATGATAGCTACATTGGTGACACGCAGAATTAGACTCCTCCCTGAACTGAGGACAAATAACGAACTATGTCACACACTCCACCCCACAACCTAACGTTGACACACATGCCAACAAAATGGGGTTCTTTTCATACCGCATCATAGATGCTTGGATGAGGAGTGTTTAGTGATCTCGAGAACAACTCAATGTCCACAAATTTGAAAAGAGTTGGAATTCTTGAACCTAGAACAACAGAGCTCTTTTGAGCTAGCGGGAAAAGAATTCGGCTCGTAATAAACCGACCCAGCATCAGGCCCCCTTACACGATGCTGCACTTCTCACTGGTGTTAATAGATAGCAATACCAGCAAGCAACTACTGAGGCTTCACCGAAACACATGATTGCTACACACCAGGTGTGCCTTCTGTTCTTGAATTTTAAATAAAGGCTCTTTTACACACTTTAGAAGGCTCAGTTGTTATTTTAGACATAGTGATAATTTGCTGCCAATCTGCCTAAAGTTTGGTTGCAATTTATGATAGGTAAAAAGACTGAACTTTATACATTACAGTATTAAATTTGTCGAAGTCAACAATTTATGACCATGTGAAATGCATGATTTTGTTTCAGAATTTGATATGTGGGTTCCATATGTTCTTAAACAAAGAGACTTGCTCCATCACATTAATGTCTGTAATTTGCTTCTCAACCCCCCCCCCCAAAAAAAAATTTTTTTTGAAGCAAATTATAACTGGCAACAAGAAATGAATTGTTTACAAGAAGATAATTTCCCAACTGATTTGAAAGTGTAGTGCCATTAACTGGACAAAGTAATATCATCAAACAAACAAAGCTAGAACTGATCAATAGAAAAGGTGCTGTATTTTGACATGATAATGCCACACATTGCACAAGTTTGTTGAATCATCAAAAACTATTATAGTTTGAATGGCATGTGGTACCACAACCACCACTTTTGCTCACATCTAGCACACTCAGACTGTTACTTGTTCTGGTCTTTTACAGAAAAATATTTTATATAGTAAAACATTTACTTCAAATGAGGATGCCAAAGCATAAAATTTAATAACATGTTATTATGACAGTAAAAGCCCGGAGATTTGTAACTCCACAATAAAATACAACTATGATTCATATCAAACAAAAGCTGTCACCAAACTGTCCAATTTAACACCAAAAATAGATAAGCATGATGTAACACTGTGTATTTATATAAACCTGATTAGTCCTCAAAAGTTGGTTTAATTTTTGTAAAAAACGATATAAATTAACTACTATTTATTTGTTTTTAAATCTCATTTTGAAAAAATTATTGATTTCTGTGACTTATCTTCAACAGGACAGCATGCTGTAGAGTACAGGATCATCAAGGAAAATGTGACTTTTGTGAAAATGATTAAACACTAGCTGTGCAACATCAAACTACATAAAGAGCAATCTGTTCCTTCAAACTTCTCCCAGAACAACTGCCGCAAATTTAGAATATATCTCTGCCAATTTTCATGATTGACGGAGTTTTGTAATTGAATATGAAGTTTTACTTCAGTGTTTACGTCTGAAATGCCCTTTTTTCTTTCAGAATTTCATGTAATTTAAATGTGGCTTTTGATATTCAAGTTAAAAGCAAATAAAACTACTCTTTTTATAATTTTAGATGAGAAATTTTATCTTCTGTTCATCTGGCTTTTCTACTTTGAATTGCACTTTTTATATGCTCAATTATCCAGAATTTTCACATATTTGGAAAGTGGCCTTTCCTGAGCTCTTCCGGCAGTTCCAAGCCGGACAGTTGAGCTTTGACTGTGTTAGAAATTTGCTTTTTTTTTTTTTTTATGGCAAAAAAAATTAAATCTCTACATGCCACACTTATTTCAAAGAATCTGGAGGGGGGGAAGGAAAAAGAAGAATAGCATAAGATCATGATTTTGTTACAAAAAAAAATAAAACATCCCAGGCGATGTTTTATTTTTGCAGGAATTTAGAATAAAGCTTTCTTGGCTAATCTTTGGAATATGGTAACAGGTAGTTTGGCGACATTTTGGAGGTGATAAAGGTTACTACCTAGGACTTGGGGAATAATGTGAGAAGTATCCAAGTTCCAATTACGCATTATTTTGGTGTGAGAGAAATGAGAGATCATGAGATATGTCATGTGACATTTATGGACGAATCACTGTTGTTTAATCGGAAAAGGGGGAAAATTTGAAAAAATATCTCTGTACAGTTCTTTAGCAAAGCATTTTCTATTTAGGTTCATTGTGTGTTGTGTGAAAGAGTGTTCCTTAATATTTGGATCCCATGGCCCTATATAAAGTAAATTCCGAAATTTTTATTGCGTTTATGTGTAATTGAAAAGAATTGCTTAATTGTGGATAAGTTTGAATGACGGTGTAAGAAATTTAGTGAAAATGGACATTTTGTGATCCACCATGCACTCAAGATTCTGTAGAAGATTTGGTAAGTTAGTATTTTTAATAATTTGAGGATATTTTTTATTTTAAGGAATAAATTTATATGCTATTATTGGAAAATGTTTATTAGCAATGAATTAGTTTAAAGTAATTAAGATTTTAAGTTAATTAGGATTGTAAGCTAATTTTTATTCATTTAATGTATGTGCTTATTATATTTTAAGTAGTGTTTTTTAATTTAATTATATTTTAATTTAATGATCGTGATTTTGAAAGTTATATGTTTGTAGTATTTTGGAATACTTTTGAGTAGAAGTAAATGTGCATGGAAAGAATTTAAGTATTTGACACTAAGTATTTGTAATCATTTTTAATGTTTTGTTATAAATTTGTTGGTGACGTTTATAATAGATAATTTAGAGATAAAAGTTTTTGGATATTTTATTTATTTTATACGTGCAAATGTCCATCCTTGGAAAGGGTATACACTTTTTCGCGATAAGGTAATTTCATATATGTCCTTTTTATCGAATTTAAAGATTCACAAAATTTTCCTGCATTTTCATGCAAATTTTTGTAATTTATGAGAAAATAGCAGTGTAGATGGATAAAGTCAAGAGTGTGCGCAATGCCATTTTTGTGCAATTCTGGGATGTTTTTTAAGTAAAAATAAGTCGACGTGTACATGGTTACTGTGTATGAGCGATTTTGAAAAATGTGGCAAGGAGTTTGGGTTGATCTTTACATTATGGTAACTTGGCGTTTTTTTTGGCGACCACTCTCCTACAGCAACCCTCTATTTTTTTTCCCCGCCGCCATTTTGTCTTTCACGATAAAAGAAAACAAACATGTCTTTAAAACATGTTTCTTTTATCTACTGAACACTTCTTCCAACAATCTACTAGCCCAATTACACTTATGCTAGAAATTTTATCTAACAAAACTGCTTAATCATGACAAATATTCACTGCAAAATTGGGAAAAAGTGCACAATACCATACTCCTCACACGTTTTTTCAAAATAACACATACACATAAACCATGTACACGCCAACTTATTTTACTTAAAAAAACATCCCAGAATTGCACAAAAATGGCATTGCGCAACCCTTCACTATATCCATGTACACTGCTTTTTTCTCATAAATTAGAAAAATTTCACGAAAATAACATGACAATTTTCTCAATCTTTAAACCCAGTAAAAAAACATATATGAAATTACCTGATCGCGAAAAAGTAATGAACATTTCCACATATAAAATAAATAAAATATCCAAAAACTTTTACCTCTAAATCATCTATTACATTATACACGTCACCAACGAATTCATACCGCAAGCATTACAAATACTTAGTGTCAGATATTTAAATTATTTCCATGCACTTACTTCAACTAAAACTTATACAAATTCCTACAAACTAAAATTCACAAATAACTATCATTTAATTAAAATATAATTAAATTCAAAAACACTAAATAAAAAATATAAATGAACACATAGTTAAATTAATACATACAAAATACCCATTTCGAATTCACTTTAATTACGGCCATGGATCCAAAAATTCACGAACACTGTTTCACACAACACAGAATGAAGCCAAATACAAAATTTCCAATTTTTTCCCCGATTTCCCCCTTTTCCGATTAAAGAACCGTTAATTCGTCCATTAATATCACATGACATATCCCATGATCTCTCATTTCCCTCACACAAAATAATGCGTAATCGGAACTGAGTACTGCTCATATTATTACCAAAGTGCCAGGTAGTAAACCTTTATTGCCTCTAAAATGTCGCCAAACTACCAGTTACCATATTGTAAAGATAAACCCCAAATTCCTACAAACATAAAATTCACAAAATAACTATTATTTAATTAAAATATCACTAAACCATGTACACGTCGACTTATTTTTACTAAAAAAACATCCCAGAATTGCACAAAATGGCATGCGCACACTCTCACTATATCCATGTACACTGCTTTTTCTCATAAATTAGAAAAATTCACGAAAATACATGACAATTTTATCAATCTTTAAAACCCGGGTAAAAAGAACATATATGAATTATACCTGATCGCGAAAAAGTATTTACCCTTTCCAAATGTGAACATTTCCACATATAAATAAATAAAATATCCAAAAACTTTTACCTCTAAATCATCTATTATATTATAAACGTCACCAACGAACATACCGCAACCATTACAAATACTTAGTGTCAGATATTTAAATTATTTTCCATGCACGTTTACTTCAACTAAAACGTTATACCAAATTCCTACAAATATAAAATTCACAAAAATATTCATTTAATTAAAATATAATTAAATTCAAAACACTACTTAAAATATAAATGAGAACATACATTAATTAATAAAATTTACCTTACAATCCTAATTACTTAAACTAATCATTGCTAATAACAATTTTCCCAATAATACCAAATTCCCTTTACTTCCACCTTACATTTAGAACAATGCATAAAAATAATATCCTCAAATAATTAAAAATACTAACTTACCTAATCTTCTTCAGAATCTTGATTACGCGTCCGATAAACGTTTCTTATTTCCTCCGCTAAATAAAAAGCAAGCGTATGTGCACCTGTTTCAGGATCTTTAAAATCATACTTATAGTTCACAGCAAGGTACCAGGTAAAATAAATAACTTAATAAAGCATCTTTATTTCTATCTCGTACAACCTTAAAAAAACGTTTATTACTACCCTTTTCAATACCACTAAATACCCATTTCCAATTCACTTTAGTTAGGGCCATGGGATCCAAAAAATCCCGAACACTGTTTCACATAACACAGAATAAAGCCAAATACAAAATTTCCAGATTTTTTCCCGATTTCCCCCCTTTTCCGATTAAAGAACCGTAATTCGTACATTAATATCACATGACATATCCCATGATCTCTCATTTCCCTCACACAAAATAATGCGTAATCGGAACTGAGTACTGCTCACATTATTACCAAAGTGCCAGGTAGTAACCTTTATCGCCTCCAAAATGTCGCCAAACTACCAGTTACCATATTGTAAAGATCAACCGCTTTGATTTTTAAAATATCAGTATGTTAAACTAACATACTTTTGCTAAATTTTCTATTTTATAATCATCTGCTGAATCTTCATAAATCAACTTAGTAATTACAGTTTATTGAAATAAATTCTTTCCTTAATTGGAAGTTTTCTATTTTAAATTCCAATATATTTCATACATATTATGCAAAATACTTTAAAAAAATTCATCTGAAAAATTTGAATTCTAATCTTTGCATTTGCCTGAAAAAATTAGTAAGATTAACAGGAAAAAACCAAAAGTTTAATTTAAAACGCATTCAAATTTTTGAAGATAAATTTAGATTTTATTTGTTTTTCTGTTTAAATAACATAAAATTAACTTCAATAATAAACTGCAAGTTATTTAATAAAATAAATAATATTTTAATAAGAAATTCTTACTTTTAGAAAGAACGCATATTTTTCAACTCCTGGAATTCCAAAAGTATTGTTGAGACAGCCAACACCAATAATTAATTTATCATATGGCAAACTGAATTGTAATTCTGGATCCAGAACACTTTGGCATAAGATAGTTTGTTTTTCTAAATTAATATCTTCTGCATGTGCTAACATCAAATCTTGAGGATTAGCTAACCCTATATTTCTGATAGGTTCTGTGATAGACCTAAAAACAATCAAAATATGTACTATAAGGCAAAAAGTTTTGATTATATAATGCTAAGAACTTAGTACCTATATAAGCTACAATAAATTATTATTTTTTAAAATACAGTGCATACAAATACATGAAGCCTGCATATCTATTTGGTTAATACATGAACATAAAATACACATTAAATTAATGAATAGAATATAATACTTCAAAAAGCATTAAACAATAGTAAATTCTCTTAGCAGTTACTCACTTAATCATCAGGAAGACAGAAGTAATAACAAGCAAATTCAAAATAAGAAAATAAACCATACTTCAATAATTTTTGTTAGCCAATAAGATCATAAATAAAACAACATAACCAAATATAAATGCAGTATATTACAAATAACATTTTATAAGAACATCTGAACTCTGCATATGTAATCAAGTAAGATGATTCCTAGAAATTAAGATTTCTTCCTGGAACACTCAAATTTTTAAATATTTTCTTGTGACCTCATGAAATTTGTTTCTTTTACTTATTTATTTGTTTACTATTTTTAGTTTAAAAATACTACCACTACGAATATTATTAGAAAATTTCAGGATTTTGTTTTGCCAATTTTTAAGTAGATTGGAACAGTATGAAAAACTTATTGGAGAAATAAATATTTTCTCAGAGAACTATCATTATATTCTCATAACCAAATTAACTTATCACTCATAAAAAAAAAAAAAAAGTCGCATTGCTGTAAATTAAAGTTTACTACAAAGAAATGCTTTGTAGATGATATACAATGGCTCCCCAAAGTGTTCGTACACTTATAAAGTTTCAGTGAAATACTGCTTTATTCATTAATAAAAATTAATATTTTGGAATGAGAATTTTTTAATAATATCTCTAAATTTCTCTTAGCAAAACTACATTAATTATTTTAAGAACACAGCAAAACTTTCTTTTGGAAAATCAATAATAAACAAGTAACAGAAAAACTACCTCACAAAAGTCACTACACTTTAAACAAATCTGCATATATTAGTAAATATTACAGTATTTCTGTCAGTTAGTATTTTGTGCAGTATTTATGACAGCTTTCAAACATCTGGGATAGAGTTAAAAGTACATCTGTTTTCATAGACTAAGAGGTTTACTTTATTTGTTTAGACAAATAACTGCTTACCGAAATTCAAGAGTTCCAACTGTGGTGCTACACAGCAGAGGTGTAAACAGAAAATGATTCCTTGGAGTGACTATTTTAATATCAAATAATTTTCTATTAATTTCTTTCAAAACACTATAACTAGCCCAACCGCTTCCTAAAATTACTATTCGTGTTTTTTTCTCAGTCACAGATGACGCAAGCCTTTTTATATTCGCAATCATACGATTTACATTAATTAATTTCATATTTACACACCTAAATAAGGAAATTTAAGACAATTATTTAATTCTTTTTAACTTGAACACAGAAAATTTTTACAAGCAAAACTCTAAATCCATATCCTCTGCAATCATTCTCTGAGTTTACATTTAAGAGTGCTTCTTTTGTTGACAAAACATCAACCGGCATTTCAATAACACACAGTGTGCAATACTATTGCATAAGAGCTGCAAGTTGTTGCCAGATTAAACACGTGTGTTCAAAAAATTAAAAATTAAAAAAAAAAAAAAAAAAAGATTTAACATCATGGTACTATAAAACTCAGAAATGTAAGTATTAACTTTTTAAATCTGTGTAGTATTCTTTCAATTCTTTTTTACAGTAATTCAATTCTTTTTTATAGTTAGTAACATATTTATAGTTACAAGTAAGCTTCAGAAAGTCAGGATCAATACATCTAAATGTTTCTTACAGTAAGGCGCAAGTTTTGTTTTAAATATGGCTTCGGATGATGTTAAAATGCGAGTTTGTGATGTTGATGAAATTGAAAGTAATGCTCAGATAAACAATCAGAAGAGTACACAGAAGAGTCATATACCATGGTAATTAAGAGAAGAATTTTTTTTTAATCTCCTCTTTTCATTTCAGGAATGCTTTCATTAGGAGGCACTCGTCAAATTGATGCGATAAATCAGCTTGATTAATTTTGGATTCTTTTTTATTTATTTATTTAACTCTATTTCTAGCACATATATGACATTGCCACTAAAATATAGTATTCTTTTTATTTTATTTTGTTACTTACGTTTTGCGCTTACTGTTTTATTTTTATTATTGTACTGAGAAGTAATGTGCATTTTCTGTGTAAATTTATGAGAGAAAATTGCTAGTGTTCTCTGTTTTGTAGCTTGCTCTTATCAATGTGTGTTTAAATTTATTCACTAAATGAATAATTTTCTTAGTTTATAGTATAGGGAGCAAATTTCAGAAAACATAAAACCAAATAACTGTATCTGTAAATGACATTTATCGGGAAAAAAATTAGATTATTATTGTGGATTGCAAAGTTTTGTGGAAAAAATATTGCTGATAATAAAAATCATCTGAAATGGCTTAAAGGGAACAGCTTGAGTATAAGACCGGAAAAGCCCTTAAAATTGAAAACACAAGTTAGAAAGCACGTTTTAACCAGGAAAAAAATTTAGGATATATGTTTAAACAGCAAATTTGAAGGTACATAAGTAAGTAAGGGTATATTTAAAGTAGTAATATTGAAAATACAAGTTTAGCCTTGTAAAAGCAGTTAAAATTGAAAATAGATGTTAGAATGCACATTTTAACAAGAAAAATTTTAAATACAAATTTAGAATATATCTATTTAAACAGTGAAACTGAAAAAAATAAATAAATGGAGGCATATTTTTAGCAGTCATACTAAAAATACAAATTACAAGCTGTAAAATTGAAAATAGGAGTTCAGAATACATGTTTAAATTAAAAATATGAAAATAGGAGTTAAGAATGCATGTTTAAATTAAAAGTAAAGTTTGAAAATACACAAGTACATGGAGGAATATTTTAAGCAGCATATTGAAAATGCAAGTTTAAGCTATAAAACTGCAAACAGGAGTCAGAATACTGTTTAAATTAAAAATAAAGAAATGCTGGAAATTTAGTAAAGTTTACAAAATCATGGTAAATTTACAAAGAAATCCTATACTCTGCCCAATTTATGTCCCTTACAATTTCTAGAAATTTGTTGAATACATCAATATTTTGCTCCTTCAAAGAAAAGGACACTATCAAGTTTAAAACACGCGGGAATGTGACAGGGGTGCCGAAGTGGAGTATTCTAGAATTTACTGGGTTACCAGAAAATTAACCATCCAAAAAGTGCGCCAAGCCAAAAATCGCCAATGGGGTTCTATACTCAGGCTGTACCAAAATTTGTTAGGCATTATTTGTGCTGTGTTTATTGGGGTGCCTTTTTAAAGTTGCACACACCCTTATCCATGGCAGTTGCTGTTTGAAAAGTGCCTCACTATAAAGGTGTGTGCACTCTTATGAAAATCAATTTATAACTTTAACAAGAAAGAAGAAAGTAATCTACATAAAAGTACAAGCATTTTTCTATGCTGGAATACATTTATGCAGATCCAATTTTCTTTCCTTTTTTAGACTAATTAACTTTGTAGGGGACAAAAAACATCTTTGGTGCAAACTATATTTTTGTGCTAGTGAAGTAGTTTTATGAAAAGGGTCTGAAGATTTATTATATTTCCAACTTAATTAATTGGTAATGTAAATGAAAATCAGACTTTCGTATAGGTGCCCATATTCTTAAGAAAATTGCTTTTTTGAAATGAGAAAGTGATCTTTAAGGGTGTGTGCATTTTTATGCCAAAACGTGATTTTGAAGGTTTCTTTCTTTTTTTTTTTTTTTTTTTTAATCAATAGCAGTCGACTTATTATGTGTCTGTTTTTAAGTATGAAGCAGTCCCATTATTATGTGTCTGTTTTTGTTAATTTTCATTTGATAGCAAGTTTAATAAAAATTATGATGTACTACAAATTGATATTGCCATCATTTATGTGCCTTGTTTGTTTTATCTCTTTACTGACATAAGTCAACGTCTAAAACTTCACCTTATAAATAACTTTATAACACAAATATTATGTTTATTTTGCTTTCAAGGATAAAAATTGCAACAATATTATTTTCTGAAAGTTATTTTCTCTTCAGTCATCAGAAATGTTTCCAATTTTGAATCAATTTTATCTCTTAAATTCTATAAATATTATAATTTATGACCTTTATACCCATTAAATAATTTTTAATATTTTCTGATTATCTAGCTCAGGGATTCCTGACCTTTTTCTCCCTAGGACCACAATCTAGAATACCTGTTGGATGGTGGGCACTATAGTTCGATAGAGTTAATAATACATGCTCATAGAAAAAGAGATCGTCATGTTTCGTTTTGTGTTGGACGCAATTTCGATTTTATTAAAAATGAGGAAACTTTCACATAAAATTTTATTGAAAACTAAGGTTGATCTTTGGATTATGGTAACTTGGCGATTTTTTGGCGACCAACTCTGCTACAGCAACCTTTTGTTTTTTTTTCGCCGCCAAAAGACATGTTTATTTTCTTTTTACTCAACACTTTTTCCAACAATCTACTAGCCGAATTACACTTATGCTAGAAATTTTATGGAACAAAACTGCTTAATCATGACAAATATTAACTGCAAAATTGGGAAAAAGTGCAGAATCGCAAACTCCTTGCCGCATTTTTCAAAATCGCACATACACAGTAACCATGTACACGTCGACTTATTTTTACTTAAAAAAACATCCCAGAATTGCACAAAAATGGCAGTGTGCACACTCTTGACTTTATCCATCTAAACTGCTATTTTCTCATAATTACAAAAATTTGCACGAAATGCAGGAAAATTTTGTGAATCTTTAAACTCGTTAAAAAGCACATATATGAAATTACCTGATCGCGAAAAATTATATACCCTATCCAAGGATGAAAATTTCCACGTATAATATAAATAAAATATCCAAAAACTTTTACCTCTAAATTATCTATTATAAACGTCACCAACGAATTCATAACAAAACATTAAAAATGGTTACAAATACTTAGTGTCAAATATTTAAATTTTCATGCACGTTTACTTCTACTCAAACGTATACCAAATTGCTACAAACATGTAATTCACAAAATATCTATCATTTAATTAAAATATAATTAAACCATGTACACGTCGACTTATTTTTACTTAAAAAAACATCCCAGAATTGCACAAAAATGGCATTGCGCACACTCTTCACTATATCTATGTACACTGTTTTTTTCTCATAAATTAGAAAAATTTAACGAAAATGCATGAAAACTTTGTGAATCTTTAAATTTGGTAAAAAGGACATATATGAAATTACCTGATTGCGAAAAAGTATATACCCTTTCCAAGGATGAACATTTGCACGTATAAAATAAAATATCCAAAAACTTTTACCTCTAAATTATCTATTATAAACCTCACCTACCAATTTCTAACGCAAACATTATAAATGGTTCCAAATACTTAGTGTCAAATACTAAATTCTTTCCATGCACATTTCTTCTACTCAAACGTATTCCAAAATACTACAAACATATAACTCTCAAAATCACGATCATTAAATTAAATATAATTATATTAAAAACACTACTAAAATATAAATAAGATTATAACGTTGCGCGCCTCTAACTTGCACGCAACCAAGAGGTGACTGTGAAAGCTTGTAAACCACAGAGTCTTGTAAAGGGTTTAAGTCCCTTTTTATTCAACGTACTAAATTACAATTGCGTCCTCTTGACGCTTACAAACTGTGCCAACTAGGCAGTCAAATAAAAATAAAAAACCTGAAAAGAAAGTAAAGACAATATTCTAACTACGAGGCTCTCTAAAATAACTAACTCACCGCGTTTTACAATACCGCAGCTAATTCAGCAGACTTGAAGCTCACTGGAACAATTGCAACTACTTCCCGCCAAGCACATAGGCCGCAACGCGGGGTTCTTCAATTCTCGATTTCTACCTCCGCGCTCGCTAAGTAAGAATAACTCTCTCACCGAACTTCGTTTCCTTCTATTTAAATCATACTACTTCCGCTGATAATTTGAATGCTTGCGCGTTCTACTCAAATTTACATATTCTGGCATTGGCAGTTCCAGGGGAAAGTAAGGCTTGACAGGAAAGATAGTTTAAACTTAAAATAAATGTTAGTTAAAATAAATATAAACCCTACATTTGCCGCTGCCAGAATTTGGAAAACTTGGAAGCAGGTCCTACAAACGACCTGTTGTAAGTTTATCTAATTCTGAACTAACTGGCGAAAGCCTCGTTTACACAAAAAAAATCTTATGTAACAATTATATATTAAAATTCTGTTAGTCGTTACAAAGCTTTCTTCTTACAGCAACTTTTCCTGGACTTCATCAATCAATCTTGGTCTTTCCTTCCAGCATCTGGAAGGAATAAGTATCAGTATCTTTCTACATACATTATAATTTACACTTTCTTGACACAATAAATTTTTGTTTTTTTAACGATTCGTTTTTCTTAGTTATTGCTTACTTCACATTCATTCAATTTTTCAAGCATTAATTTAACTTTACCCTGGCTCTCCACCATGTGTGGTGTCAAACGGGAATATTCGTGTTTTAGTCTTACAACACTTCCCCTAACCACCATGATTTGTTAGAATTCAACAACCAAATAGACACACCTTACTCGACATTCTACAACTCAATGAGCTACTTTAATATTCTTAAAAATTCAAATGTAGGTGGAGAACCCTACAAAACACATTCATTCTAACTTCCCCCTCATTCATCTTTAAACATGCAGGCTTTCGCTCTAAAGCATGACTTTACAGTTTAATACTTAAATTTTGACTTCATTGCTTTTAAGCATTCACTTTTAGCATCTACAATTTTATGCTTCTAGACTAAATTCTACTTTTACATAACATGCAAGTATTTACATACATTTACAAAAGTTTAATACATATGCTTTTTACAATTTACCATAAAATGAATAA